TGATTCATCATCACCCATTTACTGGTTCTTGAGATATTTTGCTAACAGACAGACAAAGTTTATTTCATTCATTCGTGGCAAGTATTGAACAAGATCTTTTAGCAATCTGGGTTTATGCTGGAGCTCAGTCTCAGCTACGACCACACCAAACTTCAGCTCAAACTCTACTAAACTGACTGAGCTATAGCAACTTTTATTTTATTTTCGCTAAGCTCAGCTAGCTGCGGAGGCCATCTTCAATCCAGAGTTGTAAAATTAAGTACAAATACTTGTTACTTGTTAATACTGTTAAGTAGAAATTTTGACTATCTGTACTTTACTTGAGTAACTGTTCTTCAGCCTACTTTTTACTTCTACTTCTTACATTTTTACACAATTATCTGTACTTTCTACTCATTACATTTTTTTAAAAGGCAAGAAGTAGAAAGTTGTTACTCCTATTTCATTACGGCTTGTTGTTAAAAAAATATTATCCTGATAAACTGTGCCTTCTGGACAGAGTGAATTTAGTTGTGGTTGGATGAGAAGTATAAATTTAAACCATTCTGATACTGTAATAATTTGTACACAACACATCACAGCTGCAATGACACAAATCATGTACTTGGTAGCCAAGTACCAAGATGTCTGTGGTATATATATATATATATATATTATCCTGATAAACTGTGCCTTCTGGACAGAGTGAATTTAGTTGTGGTTGGATGAGAAGTATAAATGTATACCATTCTGATACTGTAATAATTTGTACACAACCCATCTGAAGCAATTTAAAATAACTGCAGACACATAGTGCTAAATGTGAACATATAGGGTTTTGATTATAAATTTCCTTAATGTTCACATGACTGGTTGCCATGTGAAAAGGGGGAGTTGAAGGAATTTTTTGGGGTATTTACTACTGACTTTTAAAAACTCTACACATTGTATAGTTTTTTTTTAGGTGAACAGTTATATAATGTGGTTATCTCTGACTTAATTGATGATTTTATGTGCAGACTGGGTTGTGTGGGGCTCTTGAGCAGGGTCTGACA